TTTTTTTTTTTTTTTTTTTTTTTGATTTATCTTCATTTTTTTCCTTTTTTTTAATTTCGTTTTGCTCTCCTTCGCTTTACTTTACAAAACACTTTTTTAATTTCATTTTCTTCCAATTTTGTTTTCACTTCTTTCTATAAATTATTTTTTCATAATTCTTTTCCATTCTCGTTTTTTAACTTTTACTTTTTTTTACAACAACTAAAACAGCAACAGAGCAGTAAATGAACGAAAAAAAAAAACAAAACTTTTTTAATTTTTCGTCCACTGTCCCCTTTTTAATATTTATTCCACTCTTTTTTTTTTATTTTTACACACTTTTAATTTTTATTTTGAACTTTTTTTTCCTTCTTGGACTTTTTTTTTCTCCACTCACCTCTTATCTGTTCCCTAAACTTGCATGTCTGCATTTTATTTTTTACTTATGCTTTTTTCGCCTTTTTTTGTTGCGCTCAATAAAAATGATGGTAATAACTGTAAAGGAAAACGAATTTTGAACCAAAAAAAACAATGATAAAAATAATAAAAAATAATAATAAAAAACAATAATAGTAACAGTAAGAATATAACTGGAAATTTAAATATAAGAACAAAAAAGAATTAAAATGATAATGTAAACTTAATAAAGTTATTTGATAAAAATACCAACTGAAAAGTTGATCGGTGATAAAAAATTTAGTTCAGTGCTCTTAAATTCCTATTCCATCAATACCGCTTTTAAATACATTGAACAACTTTAGCCGGTGCAGAATTTGAAAGTAATATACTTTCCACAGCAACAACACGGAAACGTCAAAAAATACTATTAAGCTTTAAACTGATTTGAAATTTTTTTAATTTTTCCAATTAACAGATCGTCTAATTGACTGTGACCAATAATTATTTGCTGTGATAATCGAGCTTGAAAAATGTTTTTAGTCGCTTAAACAAAGAGGAGATTATAGAACACTACGAGGAAATCGCAAAAGATCAGCTGTCTAAAAGCATTACTGAAAGGAATACTTACGTACTTTTGACTACATATTACATTTTCAAATAATGTTCTGTAATTAGATAGACAAAGCGGAAGAAAAAATCTCAAATAAAAATTACAACATTTTATACAGAATTTTTTGCTTTGTATGGAAACAGGAACTGCCTTTGACGATACCCTTTCTACACAGTCATCTGTCGTGCAGAAGTTGCAGCGGTAATGATTCAGAAGGTCAGCAGAACAGTATTTTTGAGTAGCTTGTCGATTTGTTCTTATTGTCTTTGCTGCTGCTCATACTGCTGATTCTTCCTTAATTAATATTTGCTGTTCCACGCTACCAATTTTTTCTCCGGCAATGGTTTTCCACTAGAAATAATATAAATTTTAATTTTCTTTTATTTGTTATTAAATCTTTTTTACATAATAATCCAAATGAAACACTGACCACAACAGAAAACGAACAACATATGCTTGTAAAACGTGTAAGACATAATAGCAGTAATCGGAAACTTCCTATAACTATAACAACTGTACACCATTTATCTCTTTCTTTAATTCATTCTTTTTTCTTCTATTTTCTAATTAGTAGAAACTTTAGACAAGTTCTAAAAGCGTACGATTCATCTGTAATAGATAACTTTAAAAAATTGGAAAAAGATGGTCACCTAATAACAATATCCAAAAATATCATCAAGGAATTATTTTTTCCGATAAATCACTTTGTTAGTAACCATAAAGTTACTACTATCAACAATAACAACGAACAACAACGGCATGAATAACACCAAAATCTGACGATTATTAGGTAATACAGTAAAGTAAAGTAACAGGTAAGTAACAGAGGTATGACATAAATTAAAAAAATTACCATAAAATTTACTAATTTTAAAACTAGAAAAAACAATAATATCGACAGTTTGGGAACAGGAATATTATACAGTTTTATGATTTTGGCTATATGATCAATGATTAAAATATCCAGAAAAAAAATTTACTGTTCTATTTGTTTTAATATGTCTGCCCTATCACTGTTTCCTTTAGCAAACCTTTTCCTTTCTTCACTGGCCTTTCGAATTTCGTTTCCCTAAATTGATAGGTTTCTAAATTTGTCGGACTTGATTCTTGCAATGCATCTTTTAACCACAAAACCGTAGTCATATCATAATCGTCTTCATCAGGTTTTACTTGGGAAAACGCTTTCTTAATATCAACAATTACTTCTTAGCAATACGTTTGAAAAAGTAACAAGATGCCATATAACTTTTGCAATATAACTAGTCTCCGAAGTAAACTTTCATTCAAAATTAACATTTCTTTGCTAGACTTAGCTGAATCAACGTAAATAATTCTCGCTTTTGTCGTTCCTCTACTGGATATAATGACTGAAGAATGAGGTAATTCAGATAGGTAATGGCCGGTGTTATTCTGAGTAACCCTTTCAGTAATACTTTTAGACAGCTGATCTTCTGCTATTTCCTCGTAGTGTTCTATAATCTCCTCCTCGTTTAAGCGACTGAAAACATTTTTCAAGCTTGATTATCACAGCAAATAATTATTAGGCACAGCTCTCGTCAATCAGACGATCTGTTAATTGAAAAAATTAAAAAAATTTCAAATCAGTTTTAAGCTCAATAATATTTTTTGACGTTTCCGTGTTGTTGCTGTGGAAAGTATATTACTTTCAAATTCTGCACCGGCTAAAGTTGTTCGATGTATTTAAAAGCGGTATTGATGGAATAGGAATTTAAGAGCACTGAACTAAATTTTTTATCACCGATCAACTTTTCAGTTGGTATTTTTATCAAATAACTTTATTAAGTTTACATTATCATTTTAATTCTTTTTTGTTCTTATATTTAAATTTCTAGTTATATTCTTACTGTTTCTATTATTGTTTTTTATTATTTTTTTTTATTATTTTTATCATTGTTTTTTTGGTTCAAAATTCGTTTTCCTTTACAGTTATTACCATCATTTTTATTGAGCGCAACAAAAAAAGGCGAAAAAAGCATAAGTAAAAAATAAAATGCAGCGACATGTATTTTTAATGGTTTAAGTAGAACTATGTTTGTAGTAGTCTTCTGTAGGGTAAACTATTTAGGTTTCCTAGAAGATTATAACGTAGAAGAAAATATGGAGTACTTTGGAATAAAAATTGAGCATTTAGAATAAAACAATTGAGCAATGATTACAACAAAATTGAGCAATGAAGACGACAGTTAGAAATTGAGCAACTAAGCAGTAACAACAGAAAAAGCAAATGTACCAATACAAAAAAGAATATTATTTACAAATAGTAGTGCTTACAAATTTAACCTAAACTACACATATTCCCCCCAAATTTCTTTCTCGTCTTCGTCGTCAGTAGAATCTCCTCGCCGCTGTCCTCTTCAAGGTTGCACCCTACTTCCACAAAAGCTGCGGGTTCGGGAGGCTTAATGTAGCGGGCGTACATGAAGTCCTCGACCTTTATGCACTGCTTCTCCCACTTATGCACAGATTCTTTCAAGACTTCCTTCATCGTCTGAAACAGAGAGAACCATGGAGATCACTCATTCTTGCTTCGTTATGGTTGATCATGGCGATGCGGTCTACCTGGAGCGTAAA